ATTCAAACTGAGTCTTAACCGTCACGATAGCTCATTCGGTAGAGCGCTCACTCCGTGATCGAGAGGTCGTGGGTTCGAGCCCTGGCCGTGACTTACCTAAGTCGATAAAAAATAGCAACTGTTAATTCGCCAAGCGCTCGGCACTTTGAAGAGAAAATTGCGGGTCCTTCGGATGAGACCTTAAAAACCGAGGCCCCGTGTCAGGGCAGGCGTTTGCACGATAGAGATCCCTCACTGCTCAATGGCCCTGAATGCCTAGTAAAGGTCTAAATTTGAAACCCTTCACCGGTATATGGTGACGTCTCTATATGGGTAAAAAATTCTCGAATGGGACATAAAACTACATACATACATACAATCAATCAATCAATCAATCAATTTTTCATTCTACGTCTGAAAATCCAGCTTAAACTAACAGTTCACATGAAAGATGAAATTCTTCAAAATAACATTTTTTTTATACGTTTAACATTTCATCCAAGGTGAGTTTGATCTACCCTTTCTATACTGGATTCCTAAACTTAATTTTAAAAGAAAACTTACAAAGATACATTGCCGGGTCCAGCAAATGCTCTAAAAGGCCCCATCTCTACTCCTTACGAAAAATATTAACAAGGCTGACATGGTCCTTGTATAGACCATTAAATTTGCGATATGTTGACTTTAAACAAGATTGTTGATATTCTTGTATGATCAATTTATTTTTCAGTAGCTTTTCTCGTTTTAGAAATTGTTCGTACGTAGAGCATGCTCTTGCGTATTGACTCAACTGGTAGAAGTAAACCCCATATGCAGGTAATGAAGGTACATTGCTACATACGTAAGGGAAGTTGACGATAGAAAAATTGAAGTCATCACGTTTATTATAAAGTTTTGCTGTTAGGTTACATTTAACGTCTCCTTCTAGCTAAATATTTATGTAGTAATATTCCACTATCACCTGCAGACGGTGTTTACGTCTCCCAACTTATTCGATACTCAAGAGCATGTTCTGAGTAAGGTCAATTTTAGAACCGAGGCAATCTATTGACAGATAAGTTGATGTTTCAGGGATTTCAACCACCTCGTTTAAAGTCAGCATTTTGTAAATTCTAGGGTTGTTATAATGACCTTGTTCACAAATGTGATCTACCACTGGGTTGTATTTTGGCCAGCATGTTTCATACCAATTGTTAGGCCTTTGTTTTTTTTTTAATACTAAATATGGCCACGGAATGTTTGAATTGATGATATATTGCATGTATTATTAAGATTTCTTAAGTCTATCCATTGCTGGGATGTATGTCTATGTTATGAAAGCAAGTTTTTCAAGCTTGAGCCCATTAAGTGCCGAGTATAGAACTAACTTAATGTATGAAAATGATAGACCTAACAAGAGAATAAGCTACAGATCATTAAAGCATACTACTTTTTTGCGAAATCGTTGAGTAGAGTAACATCTTTAACATTGAAATAAAAATTGATACGATGATGATGATGATGATGCATAAAATAATGTGACAATCTATCAAGAATGAAGATATTTTTTGATTCATACTCATATGGGAAACTAGATTGATCTTTTCATTGTAGCAAACCACTTCAAAGGACAAAGGATCCGTTAAGGATGATTTTATTTTTGGCATTCTGTTCACTTCTTTGGCTTCCGATCATATATTCGTCTTCTGATCGAGGTTTGTTTACTCATTCTTTTTAAAGATTATAATTACATATATCATGAATTTATATATTTATTTATTCCATGAAACATGAAGATGATAAGCGTTTTAGAAATTGTTCGAATGTATAACATGCTCTTGCATATCGAATCAATTTGGAGACAAACTCCATTTGCAAGTGATAGTGGTTTTTTGTCATGTAAATGAGGGAAGTGGACGATAGAACAGTCCTCCCCTTTATCATAATGTCTCTTTAAGCTAGCAACTTTAATGTTTCTTTTGTTTCTTGTTCATGAAAATATGCACGTGACACTGACTGGAGAGTACATAGCCATTTTCACAAAAAGAAAAAAATCATCAATGATGTGAAACAATTTACAACTCAACTATGTCATACAAAACAATTTACAATACTGAGTCTTGAGTACTGACTATCAGTAATTATTTTCTATAGCTATTTGTGGAATTTATCCATACGATCCTGCTATTGATATCTGCTGCAGCGGAATGGTAAATAGGTGGAGCATCGGCAGAAAATGCTGTAGAATGCTTGCATACGACCCTGCTTTTGATATTTGTTGCAAGGGAGTCATTAACTATCGAAGTAGAAGCAAAAGTTGCTGCGGAACTAAAGCATATTACCCCATTTTTGATATTTGCTGCAACGGAGTTGTACATGTGCGGGCAAAGGAAAAAGTTGCTGCGGAACTAAAGCATACAACCCTGGTTTAAACAAATGCTGCAGTGGAGTTATCTGCTAGATAAATGGCTCATAAAAAATTTGATTAAACTTTTCTTGTAACCGTTTTATTAGTTACTTTAATACAAGCCATCTTTTTCTTCAGTTCATAACTTTGAGTCTTCGTTTCAAATGCATATTATGACATTGTTTTTTTTATGTTCTGTCAGCATTGAGTGGGATAATAAAATAAACAATTGTTCATGTATTTATCATGAAAAGACTTTAAAATGGTGTCATCAGAAAATAATAAAGAATTACTTGTATACATGTGATACATTTATTCTGTTTAAATTGGATTAAACAATCAAAGCAATGATATTCTTGATAAATGGTTTAGATTACGTACAATGAGCTTCTAAATATAATGTTATACATAGATATGGAAGGCAAAAGACGCATACCTAAGTGGAAATTTATTCAAAAAGTTGGAAACTAGTCTTTAAAAATTAGATTTTTAAAGGAAGTCCTGCACTTTAGCGAACGTTATTTAAATTTTGTCTTCAAACATAACTCATATTTCAGAGGAATTTAAAAACAAAAATTTCCTTTAAAAACCACTTAAACCGTGAAAAGTTTAATGCAATTGTCAAACATCACGGATTGAAAACTACGAGTCGATCTGATTTTTTAAAAATTGATAGGAAGGCGCATGTTACACCAAGTCCAAATAAATTCTAGCAGAGTCTTTTTACACTTGTGAACTCAGTTCAGGGTTTGAAAGCGTTTCCACAAATCAAAATACGGTGGTTTAAAAAATGTCATTTATTCACATAGAAATATGTATATTTGTGTTTTCTGTGGAAGAAACTCTTTTTTAGAAATTTTCTGATCAGTATCTATGAGCAATTATTCAGATTTACAAGTATTTAAAACCCATTATTTATATAGAGGAAAATAATACAAGCATGATTATTATGATATTGGCGATTGTTGGTCGTGGCATTTTTAAAAGCAGCAAGGGGTCGCCAAGCGTAAAGGGCGACCCCAAATTACAACAAGCAGCAGCAGCAGCAAACAACATGAAAGCATATACATATACTATTAATAAGCATAAATATGCCCGTTCCGGGTATACCGCGAACGGAAATTATATTTTATGTATTTTACATAAACTTTACATGTATGTAGAGTTATCGTTCCGGGTTAACCGCGAACGTTACTCAACATATTTTAGCAAGTAAAGCAATGCATGGATTTGTTGAAAGCAGTACACATTTTGAACAGTAATTGCGTTTGTTTTAAGCAAGCAAAGCAGACCAGTTCATGAATATGTTGAAAGCAGCACACATTTTCAAAGTAAATAAGTTTGTTTTAATTAAGCAGCAGCAGCACAATGAATTATAGCATCAGTTGAATTGCTCGGCGCAAACTAGAACATGAGATGACACAACGGAAAAAAAAACCAAAACACCCACTTCAATGGAATGCCATGCTGGAATTCTCCACGCGAGGCTGAACACAATTAAAAATCACAGCATACAAAGTCAGGCCAGTGGAATGAAAATAATAACGATGATGAAATGATTGACTTTTTTTAACCCTCAAGTGTTGTAGTGATGATGATGATAGCAATAATGGTTATGACATATGTTAACCGATTATTTAACGGTTATCAATGCAATGTGGATGACGATAATGTGACTGGTTGTAGTTAGGATGTTAGATTAGTGATATAGACAATGTTGACATAAGCTTTTCCAGCGTCAACTTTCCTTATTTATATAGTAAATTCCGCTATCACCTGCATATGGTGTTTATGTCTCCCAACTTATTCGATACTAGTACTTAAGAGTATATTTAAACCGGGGCAGGCTACTGACAGAAAAGGTGATGTTACAGAGACAACCTGTTTAAAATCATCATTTCGTAAATTTTATCGTCGTTATAATGACCTTATCAAATATAACCTATCATTGTGTAGTATTTTGACTGATATATTTCATACCAATTGTAAGGCATTTGACAATGGTATATTCGTCTTCCTGACTGATACATAGGGCTCACCACAGGCTCTTCGCTGTCTTTAGTGTAGCAGCGAAGATGATAGTACTTACGACCCTTTATTATGATGATGATGACATACAGAGTTTTAAACTTTGAGTGTTAAAACAAGAATAATGACATACCTAATGTTTTATTATCTACTGAAGCAAGAATGACAGCCTCGATACTGAAAAAAAAATACAGCAAGTGCTTAATTTGATTAAGTGCCTGACCTAAAGTAACTCTGAGTAACCACGCATGTAAAAATAACGGGAAAATACCATACCAATGATTTATTGATTTTAACTGGATTTACAAATCTAATTAGCATTTTTGTTTAAAAGCGTAGTTTGTTTAAATATCAGAGGATTACATCTAACGGGAGAGTAAGGTACAGTTGATATAAGCATTTGTTGTGGCGGTTGAAGAGTAACCTTAACATTAAAAATATTATGTCAATTGATGTGTTAAATGTCAGAAACGATAGTAGTATCTAAAAACCTCGATAGTAGTATCTAAAAAGTACGATTGTAGTAACAAAAAAGGCCACTTCTCAAAAGTAACACGTTTTTGAAATTATTTTTTATTGTAGCCATCCATTAAACAAGCCTTGACAGACGTCAACTATGATTTTGTATTTGGTGTTCATTTCCTTCTTTTGCCTTTCGATCTCAGATTCGGTTGTAGCACAAGGACGAGGTATTTATTTATTTATTTATTTAGTAACTTAGTTATTATCTATTAATTAAAAGTCATGTTCAAATGACCATTTTTTCTTTTTTGAAAATTTATTTATTTTATATGAAGGGAGTGTAAAAATAAATGGAAACATATACAAAAGCAAAACAAGATCATGGAAAATTGTAGGAAACCTAAAACTGGAAGGAGTTACCGAAAAAAATATTCAAAAGTAAGAACAAATTTTTTAAGATTGAATGTATCTAAAGCTCCAAATAAGTCAAAGGAATTATTTCTATGGTAGGAAAGTTTTGTAGTTTAATTGTTTGAGATAAGTATTGTTTATAAAGTACATGTATATAATTATACACTGAAGAGGGTCTAATAGCAAGCTAAATGTAAGTTTTTTTCACATACAAATAATTGTATAGGTCTTACCTAATCGAAAAAATTATGCATTTGACTTAGTACTCTCTTTAGCCCTCATATATTAAGTGATTCTTATGAAATTTATTTTAAGGTATTTATTTCGACCATAACTGATCTATGTTTTTAATTGAAAAGTCGGCAAAACATCTATTATGATTCTTGTTTTCATGTTTGTACCTAAATAGAACTAAAAATATTGGAAAAACATAGCGTATTTTTCAATACAAATGGAACACAGAAATCTACTAACCTTGGTGATTTACAAATTTTCGTTAAGAACATTCTTAACAAGTTAATATAAAGAAGATGCTTGACATTTCTGATTGACAATATCTACGTAGTTTTTGGAGATCAAGTCTTCCAACAATTTCTCGGAATTTCCATGGGTACTAAAATTGCCCCGTTATTAACAGACATATTTTTGTATTCACATGAAGCAGAATTTATTTTAAAAAAACTACATTAAAAGAAGTCCCTTGCTGTGGCCTTCAATTCAACATTTAGATATATCAACGACGTTTTATCTATGAACAATATTCATTTTCATTCCTACATTAACTCGATATATCCATTTGAATTCGAAATAAAAGATACCATAGAGTCTGACACATCTGTTTCATATTTGATATTTTACTAGAAAAGACGTTAATTTTAACCTAACAACAAAAGTTTATGATAAACTTGATGGCTTCAATCGTCAACTTCCCTTATTTATTTAGCAATATACCATTATTACCTGCATATGGAGTTTATATGTCTCCCAGTTGATTCGATACGTAAGAGCATGTTCTACCTACGAACAATGTCTAAAACGAAGCAAGCTGTCAAAAAATAAGTTGATGAAACAAGGGTATCAACAGTCTCGGTTAAAGTCAACAATTCACACATTCTAATGTCTATACAATGACACTGTCAGCAAATACAGTCTATCATTAAGTCGAATGTTGACTGACCTTTTTCATACAAATTGTTAGGCCATGATTTCACACGCTGAGTTGCCTACGGATTTTTTTCCGTTTACCCTCTCATGACGAGGAGCACATGGCGGGTGTGACCAGTCCACACCGGATGCTTACTTCCCCATGGCACCTGATTCCACCTCTGATATTATTTATTTTAGGTCCGTGTTTGCCCTGCTCCGAATTTGTATTGTTTCATTGGACCTTTTAGCTTGATTTCTGTTCATCTTCATATTTCATTTAAGATGTACCACATCACTCAAAGTTAAAAGCAATCCAAAAAAGTAGCGCAAAGTTGTCGTTGAGAAGCAGATGGGACTGAAGTAAAATAGCAGAAAAGCAGGACGGTTTTTTATTCTTTGATTTGAACACTAAACACCAAATAAGAATGCATTTAATAAGCCCTTACTATATTGTTAAGATTACAAATATACTTAAATTAATCTCTGACATATTAAGAAATACATCAGAATGTCCCGAAATCTTATCTTTTGCCAGGTGATCTGATATGTTTCAAATACCTTAAATATTATTTGAAAAAGGTAATAGGGTCCTACACAGAACAATTTATCATGAATCAAAACTATTTACACCATAGATTTAAAAAAAAAATTCTCCGTTTGGCAATAATCAAACGTTACATGAATGTTAAATTTAAATATAAATAATATAATAAAGGATTGTAGTCTTATGGTCTTGAAATAAGAGTCTATCAGATCTACAGAAATAGAGTGAAATATATGGAAATAACGAACAGGATTCAACCTCAAAGTCAATTAAGCAATACAAACCAGGAGCAGAGCAAACACGGACCTCTAAAACATCAGAGGTGGGATCAGGTGCCATATAGGAGTATGCATCCCCTGTCGACCGGTCACACCCGCCGTTCAATTTATGATTTCTTTTACTGCTATGGTACCATTAAAAATGGACTTTAAAACAAAAATAAAAATGCATTTAGGTCATGACATTTTTTATTCCTAAACAGTCAACGTTAAACGTGTTAAGATACGTTGCGATTTGCTTAAAAAAAGCCCCCTCCCCCCTTTCCACATTACCATAGGTACACGCTATGTTTCAATTCGTACTTGTAGTTATAATTAGGAGTTTCTAGAATGTAAAAGGTAGAGATCACGAACGAAAATTCTCGCCATATTTTAAAACTTAATGATATGATCGAACTTTTTTTCTTCGGTGAGTTAAACAAGAAACATGCTGCTTTCACAAAAAAATATCCTTGAAATTGAATACCAGCGATGCTAATTATCAGTCGTTCTCTCCTCAGGTGTTTGTGGAACTCGGTCATACAACCCTAGCTTTGATATTTGCTGCAACGGAGTTATCAATAGCCGAGGTAGGGGTAGAAGTTGCTGCGGGACTACAGCATACAACTCTGGTTTTGACATTTGCTGCAACGGAGTTATTAATAGCCGTGGTAGGGGTAGAAGTTGCTGCGGGACTACAGCATACAACTCTGGCTTTGACATTTGCTGCAACGGAGTTATTAATAGCCGTGGTAGGGGTAGAAGTTGCTGCGGGACTACAGCATACAACCCTGGGTTTAACAAATGCTGCAATGGAGTTGTCTGCTAGATAAATGACGGAATATAGAAATAAAATTTTCCAATTCTTTCGTTGAAATTATTACTTTATAAATTATTAGTCCACTACCGGTAAAACCTGAGGGGACTATAGGTTTCCTCTGAGTCTGTCCGTCCTTCTGTCTATCTGTCTGTCTGTCCCTCTGTCCGTCTGTCCCTCTGTATGTCTGTCAGTCTGTCCCACTTGGTTTTCCGCACTTTTCTTCTAAACGCTTGCAGATATTGAGCTGCTTTTGGTATGTGAGTGTATCTTGATGAGTTACAGATCAAGTTTGCATTTCGTTCCGCTTCAATGATTTTTGACGGAATTACGACCTTTTCAATTTTTCAGGGATTTCCGCACTTTTTTTCTAAACGCTTGCAGATATTGAGCTGATTTTTGGTATGTTAGTTTACCTTGATGAGTTATTGATCAAGTTTGCATTTCGTTCCACTTCATTGATTTTTGACGGATTATGACATTTTCAATTTTTAACGGGAACCAGATTACACTTGCCGGTAGGGGACTAGTATTGCTCATGCAATACTCTCAGAATGCTTGTTTAAATATAATCCCTTTTATCATTAACTAAAAACAACTTTTATTGTTCGTTTACAAATCTAGCTTTGAGCCATTTGGGACAAATGTAATAAAGAACATTGAATTGTAAAGCATCTCTAATTTTAGCTATTTTAGATAATATTTGATCGATTCATTTGCACTCATCATAGAAATATACCAAACAATAACATAACATATCCTAGCCGCATTATTATGAATTTGGTTAAATAAGAATAAGAATGGTTTCGATATCTTCTAAGGAATGTTCAGCATTAAATGTTCTAATAAGGATATAGATTGTGATAATCTTATAACCAGTTGAAGGATATTCTTATACTAGAATTAGGATGGAAAGTGGTTAGGCATATAAACAAAAAGCATACTTTGGGTGAAAACATGCATGAATTTTTTTCAATGTTTCAGGGAACTCAAAAAAGTAAATAAATAAAACTAAAACCTTTAAATAGAAACGTTTAAACCATGAAAAAGTTTAATTCAAATGGACATTTTTGAGTCGGTCTATGTTTTCTAACTGAATTTGGTTTATATTTATAATTGCTAAATGAATAAAAAAAATTACAAGATCATAATTTTCAAACTGAATGCACATTGCGATGAAGAGAAAAGTAACGTGCGCAAAAAGTTTTAATTTTTAACATACTAGATTTTTTTTGATATACTTAAGCAAATTAAGAGAATTATTGACAATTTTTTAATTTTTTTCTGTGGAATATAACAAAACATTAAAGCGACACCTTGAGTAAGAACGGATACTTTTAACAAAATAGAGTTTTTGTATGACTCATGCAAATTTTGTTCAATTCTTGAAAATACTAAGCTTCAGAAAATTGCAGACGGCAGTACCTAAAAATCTACTTTCTCGGAGAAAAAAAATTGTCTGTCTCAAGAGGAAACTACTCCTCTATTGCTTTACTTCTTCCTCTTTATTGTACGCGTGCGCTGAAAGGTAAAAAAAAGTTAAGTTCTCAAGTCCCAAATAATGACTGTCGGTAGACAGAGGATTTTGGTACAATCTTCAAAAACGATCAGAACATATTCCTCACCTTTGCATGTCCTTTACAAGTTCATGTTAATAATTAATGTCACGTGACCTTGACATGCTCGATAACAATGATACGGTAGATACATTTAATTTTTTCCGGCACGGATTATTTCGACCCTTTTTTTCTTTACAGTGCAGCTGAGTCTGTCAAAACTTCGATATACTCATATTTTTCATAAATATTTTGCTTAATAATACAAATATTTTAAAAGAAACACATTATTTTGACTCATTATGTAACTTTAAGTTTAAAACGTATTTAAAACCAATAGATTATTTAGAACCAAATTTGTCAATATTTCTAGTAGGAGTGGTCAAACTTAACTACTTTAAATAAGTAAGAAAATGTTATTATAAAAAAATATATAAGGAAGAAATAACATTCGCTTATCTTTTTCGCATACATACATGGGAAATCGTTAATCATAAACAAGAACACTCTGCAGCATCCCTGCTGCTTATTGTGTACCAATAAATATTAATGGTAAAAATTTCCTATGAGTCACTCAAAAAGTCACTCAAATTTGTTTCTATTGCTGAAAGAAAAAGGAAAATTTTGAGGTTTTGATTTTTCTTTAAAATAATTTACTAGATACAGCATCCTAGACGATATTTTTGGTTATCTGTACATAATAGTGTACGTATAAACTTAGAATGGTGCAACAGCTGATCAATGTGGAACTCACCAGACGACCAAAATATGACATTTCCTGCAATATAGAAACCAATACCACAGACAGAGCAAAATGTTGCTATTCAACTCAATCTTATAATTTTTAATTGTTATTTTTCTCTGAGTAATCAGTGCCTTTTACCACCTCTGGCAGGGCAACAGCTGCTGTAAAACTACAGCGTACATATACTAGCTAAACGTAGCAACATCATTTTACAAAAACAATGTTTTGATAAACAAGTTGCCATGTCCATATCTGTACTTCAGAATCTTTAATCAGTATTGAAAGGAAACTAAAATTAAAGATCAAGTAAAGATCAAATAAAGTAAGGATCAAAATGAGTAGTAGTAGTAGTAGTACTAGTAATAGAAGTGGTTGTAGTAGTAGAAGGAAAAGAATAGTTGTAGTAAATATAGTAGTAGTAGTTGTAGTAGTAGTAGTGGACTTTTGCGAGAAGCACTGACTTTTACAGATGAAGACTTACTTTGACATTTTAACCTACGTTATGTACGGAGGTATGGAATTAATAATAGATTAAAAAAAACATTAATGGTGGTTATAGTTATAGTAATAAGGGCACTAACATTAATTACCAAGCAAGAGATGATTAGAGGTATATAAAATTACTTAAAATACCTTACTCATGAAAGATAGTATCTCCTTTTTATTTTCATTTTCTAAAGGAATTAAATAAAAAAGAGAATACATTCTGGAAGAAAAAATTGACAGAAGTTAGTCAAGGTGTTAAGGGAGGGGTTTAAGGGCAGGATTGTTGCCGATCCCTTCCTAGACAACGTAATATGGGCTTTAAAATGGTCCATTATTATCGTTTTATTAACTGTTAAGCTAAATATTTACATCGCAAAAGAGCTTCCGTATATTTTCCTGATGTAAAAATAAACCGTCTATTGTAAAAGTCAGCGCTTCTCGTACAAGTCCACTAGTAATAGAAGTAGTGGAATAGTAGTAGTGGTACTAGTGGTAGTAGTACTGAATCAACAATACATTTATTTTGTTTAGTTTTTTTCCTTAAATTTCAGTATAATAAATAAAACAAAAATTACCCTACGTTGAAACATATAAGCCTCTAAGAATGTGAAGTATTATGATCCACCAAGCATTTTAATTGGCTGAAACGCAATATTTATGAACAATTCGGCACTTTTTTTCTAGAACTGAAGAATGAGCGAATTGGGAGATGCACAAAAAACGAAAAATGGAAGGTGAATTTTCAGTAAATATCATGTATCTTATATATAAAAATTTGTGAAGATAAAAATTAACAAATTAATGATTTAGATTGTATTAAAATTTTGATACATTCACGCAACATAGACCTTATCTTTAAATTTGTTGTTTGGTAGAAATAAGACCATTTGTCTAACTAGCCCAGCATGGTCAGACATATCCACAGTCTAGATAACGAAGAAAAAGTAATAAGGAATTTTGTTTTTATTTAATTTTCTGAGTTTCTTTGTTATCTTAACTATTTTATTGATCATTTTTCAATGTTTATTACAAACGTTATGCTCTACGTAGGAACAATTTCTAGAAGGCGGGAAAGTATTGACATATATGTTGATGAAACAAGGATATCAAAAGTCTCATTACGCAAATTTTATGGTCGATGCAATGACCTTGTCAGCAAATACATGTACAATTAATCAATCATTAAGTCGAATGTTGACTGACTATTTTTCATACAAATTGTTTACCCATTATTATCGCAAAGAATTGTCTACGAATTTTTCCGCTGCCCCGATCATGACAAGGAGCACACGGTTGATGTGACCGGTCAACAGGAGTTGCTTACTCCTCCATGGCACCTGATCCCACCTCTGATGTTTTAGAGATCCGTGTTTGCTCCGCTACCAATTTGTATTGTTCCAATGGACTTTGGAATTTGATTACTGTTCGTTATCTTCATATTTCATCATGTTAACAAACTACGATTAGAATGCTCAAATAATCAGGAATACGTCAGTATATGAGTATATAAGTAAGTTTTTAATTGTTGTGCTATGTACGTAATTGTTCAATATAAAATAATGTACTGTAAATCTAAAGGGATGTCTGCCCACGGAATAAAAAACAGGCTAAAAAATGGTGATAATTATGTTGTTGATGATGAGCACGTATCTTATGTTTATTTTTTGTGAGAACGATTTAACATATTAACGACCGTGATTATGAAATTGATTTGTAACTGCTGAACGAAATGCAAGGATGATGACATACCAAATGTATTTTTGTTCAGTGTTACATGAAGCTTGACAGCGATGATAATCTAGAAACCTAGACGTCAATGCGTAATTTATCTGAAGGCCGTAAATTTGACTAATTGCACAAAAAAATTCATTTTTCCGAACAGAATGCACGTTTGCACTCAATTTTGATTTGATACCTGATATAAAAGCTGATCTGGCATTGATCTCCGGAAAAGACAAGTGGTACATGTAATTTAGGTAGTCTTGTTTTAGGCATATATTTTTACTGAAGATTTAAATTTCAACTTAGGTTTTGAAATGATGCAAACTTGTATTGATAATCACAATATTTTTGATTGAATTTGTTGTTTTATTTTTAAAATTAATTTTTTTGGTTGCCAACCATTCTGGAGGACCAGAAAAGACCATCATGATGATTATGTTTCTGGCATTTGCTTCACTACTTCGTCTTCCGATCGCATATTCCTCTTTTGGACAAGGTTTTGTTTTTTATCATTTTTATTATTATTTTTTAACTGCTGACATT